TGGCAGGTCCCCCAAGGCTCAGCCCCCTCCTCCTCTCCCTCCACTCACCCCTCACTCGGGGTGACCTTCTCTCTGTACCAGCCACTCATAGATTAGCCTCTCTGCTCCTGCCCTGTCTCCTCCCTCCAATCCCGCATCTCAGTCAGGCTTGGCGACATCTCTTGCTGGATGTTTCACCAGCAGCTTAAACTTGACCAAAATGAGAACTCCTCCTGATCATCCCATGGAGAAGCCCACGGGGAAAGCAATAATTCGGTGTTCAGAGCCGGGTTTGAATAGTGTGCAGTGAATAAGGCAGGGGCCACAGCTGAATGAGGAGGATAAAAGACATGTCCCCAGAGCGGGTCCATGTGGTGCCCTGAATGATCCTGTAGGGATCCTGGGGGAACAATAGTCTGTGGCCACGTAATTAAATGCTGTATCACAACGCATACATGCCAGGGACTGAATTAAGGTAGCACAGGCCAAGTACAGCAGGACAATTACCTCCCCTGCATCTTACATACAATGCCCCTGTTAACACATTCCAGACTGACATTTCATCTAGCCTGCACATCCCTACTTTGCTGATGAGACTGTCAGGTGGGAGTGTGTTGAAAATCTCACAGCAGTCCCTGAATTGCAGGCACAAGGGGCTGTGCTAGTGCAACTTCTTGCAAGACTGGGGCTTTAGACTGGAAGCTGTTTAGAGCAGGGGCCGTGTCTTTCTGTGCGTGCTACAAAGTGCCCGGCTGCTGTAAAGCAAGCTAATAAATACTAGTCTAGATTCCATGGATAGTGAACGTGGAAATGGTATGAAAGGGCTGAATGGCAGGACTCCCATTATTCCTTTCCTAATTTCTCCGAATTTTACCCCCTTTCTCACTCTCTGTATAGTTCCTCTCCTGCTTTGGGCTCTATAAATATTTGCCCCTGTTCCCATAAACCTCCCCCACCCACAGTGGTCTCAGAGTCCAGCTAGATCAATTCAGCTCTTTTAGCCCCCACCCCATGAATTGATCCCTCCAGCCCCTGGATCATTGTCATTGCTCTTCTCTGAGCCCCCACCTATTTGCCAATGCCCCCCTCCCAGTCTGGAGACACCCCCCCTTTACGCAGTGTTCCAGCTGCGGTCACACCGGCCGTGCATGTACCCTACCGGCATTGTCTGCCAGTCCCAGGATTTGGTGATAAGAAGGTGAGCAGAGTTCAATTCACAGTCTTCTTTACTTTTCTGCCAACTCTTCTTCTCCTTCGAGACGAACAAGCACTTTCCTCTGTACAACACCCAGTCTGCCGGGCAGCAGTCTGGAGGGAAGAGGGGGTGAGAAGCTCAGACACTGTCCTGGCCCTGAATGCAGCTAACGGGCTCATGCCCTGGGCTGTACAAAGAAGGCCTGGTCCCTCCCAGGGGCTCCCACTCCCCCAGACCCACGGCTGCCCGAGGAGCTGCTCTGAGCT